CAACATACCCTTATACGATGTAAACATACCTTTATACGATGTGGACATACCTTTATACGATGAGAACATACCTTTATAGTATGTGAACATACCTTTATACGATGTGAATATACCTTTATACTATGTGAATATACCTTTATGCGATGTGAACATACTTGTATACGATGAGAACATACATGTACTTTTATATAATGTGAACATACCTTTATACGATGTGAATATACCTTTAAACGATGAGAACATACCTTTATATTATGTTAACATACCTTTATACGATGAGAACATACCTTTATATAATATTAACATACTTTTATACGATGTTAATATACTTTTATACGACGTGAACATACCTTTATATGATGTGAGCATACCTTTATACGATGTGAACATACCTTTATACGACGTGAACATACCTTCATACGACGTGAATATACCTTTATACGATGAGAACATACCTTTATATAATATGAACATACTTTTATACGATGTGAATATACCTTTATACGACGTGAACATACCTTTATACGATGTGAACATACCTTTATACGACGTGAACATACTGTTATACGATGTTAACATACCTATATATAATGTGAATATACCTTTATACGATGTGAGCATACCTTTATACGATGTGAGCATACCTTTATACGATGTGAGCATACCTTTATATGATGTGAACATACCTTTATACGATGTGAGCATACCTTTATACGACGAGAACATACCTTTATACGATGTGAACATACCTTTATACGATGTGAACATACCTATATATAATGTGAATATACATTTATACGATGAGAACATACCCTTATACGATGTTAACATACCTTTATACGATGTTAACATACCGTTATACGATGTTATCGAGTTACTGTCATCGATGTGACAGCGATAAACAAAACCATCAACCGTTAAAGCGCGGTGGTCGTCGCGCAGCGCGTGTTCGAATTTCATGTAAATAAACAATGTATTTTACACGCGTTGTATACGTCGCTATGAGTCCCATATCGAACAGGACGCGGTGCGACGAGCACTGCCCTTTAAGGATTATTTATTCGCGCCAGTAGCGTCAGCACGGAGGAGGATAAGAGGGGTCACCCTTCGGAAAAAAATCAAGCTGAAACCCTTTGTGTCAGCAAAATTCGCCCCAGACCCCATACAGAGTCGCGCCTTCGGCGCAAGGTTGGTGAGCAGATCTCGCCACTCGTGCAAAACTTCGTGTCGCCGCCTCTGCACGCTGATAATGAAACATTGACTTGAGCTGAGCTGAGGCTTTTGTTAAATAATTATCTTGGAAACCGTCATGGTTGGAAATATTGCATATTTGTTTTTGTTTGTTTTTTGTCTTTGTGAGATTTGTTAGAGCTGGTTCCTTTATTTAATATCGGGGAACCAATACACAGTGGAAATGTAATGGAAACAACATTATGCATTTCTCTTTAGTAATTGCAATTTATTTACCCATACATTCTCATCTAACATAATGATGTAACCCTAGGTATATGCCAAATGCCGTGTGACCGCATTTCAGGTTTCTTCTGATACCAAACTTCGACTATTCAATGTCGTACAAATTTACACTTATATTAGGTAAACGACTGTAACGGGTGCATGTAGGCCTTTATTTGTTTTACCAGGACGGACGATGGATGTTTGTTTGTTTTAATGATCTCCAAGTATACCTGCCAATAATTCACAACTTTACTTCACTGTCCGTCTCCCATTGCATGGTGGACAGTGTGGAGAATGTCGTGATATACTAGTAGAGTGATTGTGGTGATATGAACTGTTAAAATGATCACGAGCTTCGGAAGTACTGGACGTACGAAAAAAAACTTGAATAAAATGTTATAAGATGGCGTTTAGTACCAACATAATCCATGACAAAAGGCAACTGAAAAAGTTAATAAACAACGTAAAAAATCTTCTGTTCCGGTGTGCGTTTGTTCCTTGAACAAAAACAAGAAACCTTGACAGAATAAAAGCAACGCCGTTCAAAGATAGCGCCGTGGTCGCAGTCAGCTGATAGATAAGTGATAATAAAATAAATGCGATTATATATTACCGATATTTATTATATGGTGCAGCCATCTTGAAAACAAAAAACTATGAAAAACATTTAGGTTACAGCCGTTTGCATCACAGAGTCTATTTGTCTCTTGAGGGCGCGACGTATAGCGGAAAGTGCGTTACGCGCACGCGTGGGAATTGAGTCCTAAGCGATGATAACAACACACGCCAAAACGCAAATGCTCATGTGTAGACGCTTGTTTGTAAACAATGACACGCTATGGTCATCTGACGCATGCGCAGGCGACGACTCCCCCGCTTTAACAAGTTGTCTGTTGCGTGGTAGTTCTTCTCGTATTTCATTTGTTTTATTTTATTTACAGTCACAGACCCAGTGGAAAAATTTCGAAGGGATGCCTTGAAAACACAAAACGCCTACAGAGAACTCCATGGAGCGCCGCCACTGAGATTTTCTAACAAACTTGATGAGCATGCGCAGGAATGGGCGAATCATATCGCAGAAATGGGGATGGCAAAACAGAGGAAGGAGATCCCCTACGGAGAAAATGTAGCATGGATGTGGAGCGAAAGCGGACAAGACGAATTTACAGGTATTAGTAAACCAACGCCATTTTAAGATGTTAATATTAAAGGGCGGTGGTCGTCGCGCCACGCATGCGCGAGATATGAGACTCATATGAACAAAGATGGCGACTTTGGCTGTTGCGAAGACTAAAGAGTAGAAACTAAGACGTTACCAAGCTTTAACTAGATAATTTCGTTGGTGAATGGAGGGTATCGAAGGAGTTACCAGTGGTGATTATTTCACGTTGCGCCCAGGTCAAAATTCGTGTTCGTAATTTCTATTAAAAAATCGCATTGGATTGTTTGTAGTGTTTACCCACACTAATCTAGATAAGTATGGGTGTCTTTGGGTGGGGAATATACAATTAAATTGGGATGCGCCGGAGGTTAGGGGCTGGGTTAGAGTTAGAGTTAGGACTAGGGGTTGGGTGCAGAGAAACTCTTTCCGTCGACTTCCTCAAAGTTCATATCGTATTACGTACGATCTTGTATCTCGACTAATCATTCACCCATGTCCTATTGATCTTTCATCACGTGATTTTGTAAATGGTAAAAATAGCACTGCATTATAATGTGTTAAACTCGGCTCAGTCTGATTCTTGTTAAAGCCGTGATCATGTGTCTTATATATTTTCTGATTGGTTAAATTAAAATTCATTGTATTTAATGCCCGAGAGTACGCACTCTTTGCACCATTTAAATATATATTACCTTTCATCATTTGGTTCGGAAACTATATTTGACTGACAGTAGTTTATAATCTTATTTCATTCTGTAGGCAAAGCTGCCGTGGATAAGTTTTACAGCGACGTCACAAAATATGATTTCCAGAAAGGAGCAAGTATAGACGGTCAAAGTGCAAGTAAGTAAGGAACGCACGAGGTCTCGTACTCGCTAGCTGTCTCGCGAGGCCTGCTGACACTTTTTAGGGTTGTCTCGAGATGGATGATGCGTACGTGTTGTAGCAAAGTTCAGTTATTTTCGTACAAAATTCGTATTGATTCGTTTCGAATCCGAGAAGAAAACACTGGGGGAATTTAGTCGGATGTACTGTAAAATGCAGTGCTCTTGCGAGTGGTGTGTCACGTAGACGCAATGTATTGTGGGATAATATTTATATACGGCAACAAATGTCTGAACATCTTTTCGACTAAATTGAAGGCTTAACACTGATTTGTATCAAGGTGCGAGCGTGTTTCCACTATTGTGCTCAGTTTGATCCAGAAAAAAATTCAGGATACTTACCCGTCTGGGTTGAAAATATTGGTTAAACGACTTATTATGATCCGGCTGACCGGGAATCTGAGGCGATGTCTTGTTTAACGATGTGCATACTGTTAGTGCTCGTCTTGATGGAGATAAAATTGGTGAATTTATGTGTTTGTACGAGCATAATAGCATCAAACGTTTTTTATAAACATCTTTTAGTATGCCGTATTGATGTGTCAATTGTCAACTTCGTTCCCAACTCCACATATTAACGATGATTTAGAAGCTGGTCGTATTGGTATATTTGGGAACTTTTTACTAAATATGCAATCATCGACGGACGTGTTTGTGGTATGTAAGGCGGATGGTGAAACTTACAAATTCGTGTACAAATCACATGTGTACATTGTGTCCAGTCCAACGACTTAATGATAGTTGACGAAAATCAACAAATCAATTAACAATTCCACTAATCATGTATGTCGATGATTTACTAAATCTACAAGGTAAATATTACAGACTGAATAATATACTAGTATGTAAGCAGTGTGTAATGTATTTGTTTAGATAAGATTATTTCGTAACATTTTAGGATATACGAGTAGTGTTATAATGCAACAACAAAAATAAAATCGGTAGCACATTATAATCCTTTGTGTTACTGTTGTCTCCCTTTACGGGAAAGTCATTTCATATAAAATCTGTAATTAAAAGGAAGGCGTCATTTTAAACAAATCATTTCAATTACTTTGATCAATCATATGTGTGCCATGGTTGTGAAATCCCAAAGGATATGAAAAACATAATTAAATTGTAATTATTTTTACTTGGCAATGTGAAACAAACTTGTTGGAGAATATGAGAGAGTGATTTTACGTATTGTGTACTACAAGCTCGGCATTATCAATTGGCCAAAACGTCTCGCTGTTATTCAAATTTGGGTCCCGTGTAGCTGGACGTCGGACAGAGTCAGCAACTCATGTAGTCTATATATATACTGTTAATATAAAATTGTCTGAGAACCAGAAATATTTCATGCACTCTCGGCGCAACAAAGGCATTCCGTTCTTCTCTATAAATATTTTCAAATTTCAATGGCAGTTGTCAATGAATCAAACCATCCAATCGATGAGCACAATGAGCAACGACGCCATTTGAAAAAGTTATGTTATTCAATCAGCCAATAGAAACTCTTCGTTAAAGTTTGAATTGTGAATATTCATTAAAAAAGTATTCACATTCTTCTATATAAATGTGATTTCTACTGACAACATTTGTAAAAACAAATTCACTATCGTATAATAGAAGTTCAGTTTCATATTGTCCCACAAATACAACAGAGAGATAGAATAATAGATAATCACCAATCAGGTGCAGTTCTCGATATTTTGTAACGAGAGCGAGAGTACGAATGTAAAAACACAATACTAGTATGCAAATTTTGGGCAACAGCGACCAGACTGTATACAATTTCGTAATATCCACCTTTCATCAGTGCACATGTACTTTTTTTGACTTTCAGAAAATTTTACACAGCTTGTGTGGAAGAGTTCAACTGAAGTTGGAATCGGTTACGCAATCAACCCCAAGGATCCCAAAGATATGTACGCTGTGTTCAATTACTATCCTGCGGGGAACATCCCAGGAGACTTCAAAGCCAATGTCAAACAACCAAGGCAGAAGAAGAAATGATGCGTGCCTTAAGGAACACAATGTACATTCTAATGTTGTTACGTATTTGCATACTACTCTCATGTCTTCCTTGAACGTGCCATGTCTCGTTAAACTGTTAACGGAAAGTCGTCGTTACCTGTCGTAAATATTGAACAATAATGTGAGTCATCCTGGAGCGAAGGAAATAGAATTGCAACACGGGCTTAATGATATATATTTATATACAACGGTCACATGACTACAAATTTAGGGGGATTCTTGCTAAATTACCAACCGACTTAATTGTTATATATATGAAAATAATATTAGAGTTCATTTAATCGGGGCAATCGAGGCGAATTGGACGATTGATGTTCACAAATAATATACTTCTTTACAGATGGTGTTCTGTACTTTCGGATCGTTATTTTGATCTTTTTTTCGAGTCTTGTTGTATGTTATTCTTTGAGTCAGTGTAATGTTTGAAATGGTTATCCAGCACGGAAAATTGTAAAAACAAATGTTCGCAGCGAATGAATTGTCTGAATGTATTTTGCATTCATGTTTCAGTCGCGCGTCTACCTAACAAAAATATATATTCTGAAAACTATGTCATTATTGTGTTAATGAATGTGTTTATAACATAACCGTGAAACAAATCTTACGTAACCTAAACTTTGACCCAGCACCCAATGTACATGTACGACGAATCCTAGAAGATGTCAATACTACTATAAAGACTTTCCGTTTTGTGAAATTCGACATTGTTTTGAAAATAGGGGCCTGAAAACAACTAATTTTAACAAGAACATTCGAAAATATATTAAGAATAATTCATAACGAAATGTATCCCATAAGCACGCCAATAATAATATTTATAATATATCGATTACACAAGAATATTGCAGAAACAAAAATATTTCGCTATATTCTCTCTATATTTTTGTATTTTAATTGTCTTGAATTATGACTGAAAAAGCTGAATGAAACTACAAACTATGTAGTGTGTTCAACAACTTATGTATGAACAATAAATTTAATAGAATGATTTTACTTCGTAAAAAGTTTTTTTTTGGATTTTTCCACATAAAGACGAACGAATTTCATAATGTCGACAACGGAAAGTCTTTATAATCGTAGTGTCATGTGTACATGGCGTATGTGTTCTTATTCAGTGTGATAAGCGCGCCATGTGTTCATAAGTTGACAGTTATCGTCTCATTTTAACAATATATGTGGAGTAATTTGTAAGCTGGTATCGCTGAGTCGACGTGTAATAGATCTGACAACCTGTCAGTGGCGGATTCAGCAAAATGTATTGGGGGGGCAAGCTTCGCTTAAGATATACGGAGCGAAAATCGCAGAGAAGCTA